ACCCATCTCTACTGAAGGTCAACGTCTGAGCTACCAACCACCTCCTCTCCTCTCCCCCCTCCTCTCCTCTTTCCTTTCTCTCCCTCCTCTCCTCCTTCTCCTTCTCCTTCTCCTTCTCCTTCTCCTTCTCCTTCTCCTTCTCCTTCTCCTTCTCCTTCTCCTTCTCCTTCCCTTCCAATCCAACCCAACCATTCCTTGGCTCTATGATCTTTAAGGACCCTTCCAACCCAACCATCCCATGGCTCTGTGACCTTTTCCCACAGAGGGTGGTGAGGCAATGGAACAGGTTGCCCAAGGAGGCTGTGGATGCCCCATCCCTGCAGGCATCCAAGGCCAGGCTGGATGTGGCTCTGGGCAGCCTGGGCTGCTGGTTGGCGACCTGCACACAGCAGGGGGTTGGAACTGATGAGCATTGTGCTCCTTTGCAACCCAGGCCATTCTAGGATTCCATGATTCCATGATCTTTGAGGAGCTTTCCAACCTAGGCCATGCTATGATTCCATGATTCCATGAGTCCATGATCTCTGAGGACCTTTTCAACCCAGGCCATGCTATGATTCCATGATTCTGTTATCTCTGAGGACCTTTCCAACCCAGGCCATGCTGTTATTCCATGATTCCAAGACCTTTGAGGAACTTTCCAACCCAGGCCATGCTATTATTCCATGATTCCATGATTCCATTATCTTTGAGGACCTTTCCAACCCAGACCATGCTATGATTCCATGATCCTATGACTATCTGAGGACCCTTCCAACACAGCCCACCATACTACAATTCCATGATTCCATGATCTTTGAGGACCTTTCCAACCCAGACCATTCTACAGTTCTATGCTTTTATATAAGGAAAAAAGTTTTGCACTTCTCATTCTACGTGTGATAGATTCTTACATCTTTCTTTCTCCAAAAAATTTCCCTGCCATGAACTGACAGAGAGAACCGGCGCCGCTGCCGGCCGGGCTTGTGGGACATCACATGGTGATGGCAGTGGCCATTTCTGAGAATAGGATTGGAACCCTGAGACCCCCAGCCGTGTGCCACGCCGTGCTGGGAGCCGGCAGTGCCGTACCTGCTGCTTCAGTGCCGCGATGGTGGTGTGGGGCTGCACCAGGAGTGTGATGCTGGCCGACGAGGTCGCGTCCTCCACACCGACGTTCATGCTGTGGCACAGAGGGAGCAGAGGGTTGGAGATGGAGCGAAGAGGCAATGCCCTTCCAACCCAAACATTCCATGGCTCTGTGATCTGTAAGGACCTTTCCAACCCAACCCAACTATTGTACAGCTCTGTGATCTGTAAAGACCCTTCCAACTCAACCCAACCACTCCATGACTCTGTGATCTGTAAGGACCCTGCCAACCCAACCATTCCATGGCTCTGTGATCTGTAAGAACCCTCCCAACCCAACTCAACCATTCCATGCCTCTATGATCTGTAAGGACCCTTCCAACCTAATTGTATTGTTGTTCTGTGTTCTTTAAAGACCCTTCCAACCCAACCATGTCGTGGGTCTGTGGTCTTTAAGGACACTTCCAAGTCAACTCAACCATTTCATTGCTCAATGATCTGTAAGGACCCTTCCAACCCAACTGTACTGCGGTTCTGTGCTCTTTAAGGACACCTTCCAAGCCAACCCAACCATTCCATGGTTCTGAGACCTGTAAGGACCCTTCCAACCCAAAACTCCATGACTCTATTACCTTTCAGGACCCCTCAATCCCAACCCATTCCATGGCTCTATGATCTTTAAGGACCTTTCCAACCCATTCCATGGTTCTATGATCTTTAAGGACCTTTCCAATCCATTCCATGGCTCTATGATCTTCAAGGACCCTTCCAACCCAACCCATTATCATTCCACAACCGCAGCTCACTGCCACACATACCCTGAGCACTGCTCTCCTCCCACCCACTGTATGTCTCACCAACAGCTTTGAACCCTCATTTCTGTCCCCTTTGGTGCTGGATCTGTGCCCCTCCAGTCCCCCAGCCCACTCCCACTGCTTCTCCACCCTCATAGTGACAATTTCTTCCTTCCCTCCAACCTCAATCTGCCCTCCCCCATTCCAGAAGCGCTGCCCTGGTGCCGTCACAGCAGCTCCGGGTTAAAAGCCCTTCTCTGCCCCACGAGCTCCGTTAGGAATGGAGCGGTGGTGACCCTCCCCTCAGCCTGGGTGGGCACACTGGGGCAGAGCTGCTCACCAGATTTCATCCTCGGGATAATTGGACTCCTTCAGCAAGATGTTCAGCGTGGCTTGCTGCTGGGCCAGGGCTACAGCACAGCGTGCGGCCGCCTCCTCGTCGCCGTGCTGGATGGCCAGGGCCAGCTGCAGGGCCAGGTCCTCTGCAGAAGGGGAAGGGGAGCCTGAGGCGACAGCCGAGCTACGGGAACCCAGTGGGCTCTGGCTTCTCATGCAGATCAAAGCCACAATCCCAGATCCATAGAGTTGGAGGGGACCTCTGGATGGTCTCATTGGCCTTCTTGGCCACCAGGGCACAGTGCTGGTTTGTGGTCAATCAATGGTCGAGTTTTGGTCAACCACTACTTGAACCTCCCTGCCTTGCTGGCCATGCTCTGGCAATGTACCCCAACATCCTGTCAGCCTTCTTGGCCACCAGAGTACAGTGCTGGCTTGTGGTCAGCCACTGATCAATCGTTGACCAACCGTTGGTCAACCATTGGTTAGCTGTTGGCCAACCAGGCCCCTCCCTGCCTTGCTGGCCACGCTCTGGCAATGCACCCCAGGGTCCTGTTAGCCTTCTCGGCCACCAGGGCACAGTGATGGCTCTTGGCCAGCCATTGATCATTGACCACTGGCTAACTGTTGGTCAAACATCAGTCAACCTTTAGTCAAATGTTGGCCAACTGTTGGGTGACCACGGGCCAGCCAAGCCCCTCCCTCTCCATGCTGGCTGTGCTCTTGGCAATGCACCCCAGTGTCTTGTTAGCCTTCTTGGCCACCAGGACACAATGCTGGCTCATGGTCAACCAATGCTCAACAATTGGTGAGCCATCAATCAACCACTGGTCAACTATTGGCCAGTTGTTGAGTGACCCATTGGCCAGCCAGACCTCTGCCTTACCCAGCTGGCCACACTCTGGGCAATGCACCCTGGGGTCCCATTGGCCTTCCTGGCCACCAGGGCACAATGCTGGCTCATGGTCAACACTGGTCAACCATTGGCCAACCATCAGTCAACTGTTGGCCAACTACTGGGTGACCACTGGCCAATCAGACCTTTCCCTCACCCAGCAGGCCACGCTCTGGACAATGTACCCCAGGGTCCCACTGGCCTTCTTGGCCACCAGGGCACAGAGCTGGCTTGTGGTCAACACTGGTCAACCACTGGTGAGTCATCAGTCAACCACTGGTCAACTATTGGCCAAGTGTTGGGTGACCATTGGCCAGCCAGACCTCTGCCTTACCCAGCTGGCCACGCTCTGGGCAACGCACGCTGGGGTCTCACTGGTCTTCCTGGCCAACAAGGCACAGTGCTGGCTTGTGCTCAGCCACTGGTCAACCACTGGTGAGCCATCAGTCAACCTTTGGTCAACTGTTGGCCAACTGTTGGGTGAGCATTGGCAAACCAGGCCAAATCTTCACCCAGCTAGTCACACTGTGGGCAATGGACCCCAGCAGCCCCCACCCCGGCTTGGGAAAAGCTCCCTCCCCCCAGGCCCAGGCCCAAAACAGGGTGCTGCAGGCAGGCAGCCCCACAGCAGGGCCTGCAGGTGGGAATGCAGCAGTGCCCACCGACCTTTGTTGGAAAGCTCTGCAGCCAAAGCATCCTCTGCATCCTGATCCGCAGCGCTGGCTCCGGCCGCCGTCGCCGGGGATGAAGTGTGGGACGTGGGCACAGTGCTGGCTGAGGAGGCTGGGGGAAGAGAAGGGTCATGAGAGACGGGACAGTGTGGAGGTGGGATGATACAGAGGGGACAACGCAGAGAAGGGATGAGGCAGCAGAGAGGGGATGACAGAGAGATGGGATGGACAACGCAGGGATGGGACGATGCAGCAGAGAGGGAATGAGGGAGAGAGGAGACAGCGCAGGGAAGGGGTGATGCAGGGATGGGACAATGCAGAGAGGGGACAGCACAGGGATGGGACATAGCAGGGATGGGACACTGCAGCACAGAGGGGACAGCACAGGGATGGGACATGGCAGGGAGGGGACAATGCAGGGAGGGGACAATGCAACAGAAAGGGGACAGCACAGGGATGGGACACTGCAGGGGTGGGACACTGCAAGGAGGGGACAATGCAGCAGAGAGGGGACAGCACAGGGATGGGACATTGCATGGATGGGACACTGCAGGGGTGGGACACTGCAAGGAGGGAACAATGCAAAGCAATGGGACAGCACGGCAACGGGACAGCACAAAAGAGCAGGGACAGCACAGAGCAGCTGTCCCCATACAAGCAGTGGATGTGGTGGATCTTTATCTCAGTAAAGCATTTGGCACCGTCTCCCACAGCACTCTCACAGCTGAACTGAGGGAGTGTGGTCTGGAGGGTCGGGCAGGGAAGCGGGCTGTGAAGTGGCTGAATGGGAGAAGCAGGGAGCTGTGGTCAGCGGGACGGAGTCTGGTCGGAAACCTGGATCCAAAGGAGCCCCTTGGTGATCCGTGCCGTTCCAGATCCCCATCAGTGAGTTGGACGAGGGAACGGAGTGCACGGTCACTAAGTTTGCTGATGGCACAAAGCTGGGAGCAGCGGCTGACACAGCAGAGGGCCGTGCTGCCACCCATTGAGCCCTGGGCTGGAGAGGTGGGGAGGGAGACACTGAAATAATTGCAGCATGGAGTATTGCAGGTGGGCACGGACAGCACCATGCAGTACAGGTTGGGGACTGAGCTGCTGGAGAGCAGAAGAAAAGGACCTGGGGGTCCTGGTGGGCAGCAGGAGGACCAGGAGCCAGCGGTGTCAACAGCACAACTGAGGGGTGGCAGCAGGGACAGGGAGGTGATCGTCCCTCTCTGCTCTGCTCTCGTGAGGCCCCGTCTGCAGCACTGCGTCCAGGGCTGGAGCCCCCAGGACAAGAAGGACAGGGAGCTGTTGGAGAGGGGCCAGAGGAGCCACAGAGATGAGCAGGGCTGCAGCACCTCCGTACAAAGACAGGCTGAGGGAGCTGGGCTCGTTCAGCATGGAGAAGAGAAGCTGCGGGGTGAATCATTGCAGCCTTCAGCACCTCAAGGGAGCCTACAGACAGCAGCGGAGTCAGCTCTTGGGAAGGGGAGATGGCAGCAGGACAAGGGGATGGTTGGAATTGAGGGAGGGCGGATTTCAGTTGGATGTGAGGGGGAAGTTGTTTGCTGTGAGAGCGGTGAGGTGCTGGAACAGCTGCCCAGAGAGGCTGTGGATGCCCCGTCCATCCCTGGAGGTGTTGGAGGCCAGGTTGGATGGGGCCCTGGGCAGCCTGGGCTGCTGTGAAATGTGGAGGTTGGTGGCCCTGCATGTGATGTGGGTTGGAGCTCCGTGATCTTTGAGGTCCCTTCCAAGCCTTGCTGGCCATTCTGTGATTCTGTGAGGAGGACCACGAGCCAGCACTGTGCTCTTGTGGCCAAGGCGGCCAATGGTGGCCTGGGGTGTATTGGAAGAGGGGTGGGCAGGAGGTCCAGAGACGTTCTCCTGTTCCCCTGCCCTGCCCTGGGGTGACCACACCTGCAGTACTGCATTCAGATTTGGGCCCCTCGGTTCAGAGAGAGCACAGAGCAGAGCTACAGAGGTGGTGAAGGCAGTGGAGCACCTCTGTGCTGAAGGAGCAGGGGCTTTTTAGATTGGAGAAGGGGAGGCAGGGGTGACCCCCCTGGTGTCGACAGACACGTGAAGGGTGATGGGGATGGAGCCGGGCTCGTCTCAGTGCCAGCCCACAGCAGAACCGGGGGCAATGGGTGCAGCTGGAACACAGGAGGTTCCACCTCAATGTGAGAAAAACTCCTTCGTGCTCAGGGTGGTGGAGCACTGGGGGCTGGGGGGGACACATTCAGAACCCACCTGGATCCTGAGTGACCCAATCCGGTTCACTGGACCCCAAAGAGGGGTTGGAATGGGTGGATCCTTAAGGTCTCTTCCAATCCCTGATGTGAGTCTGTGATACAATTCCATGCCACACAGAGCCTCGGGCTGTGTATCAATGCGGACCCCCACTGAGGGGGGGCTATGAGGCACCCCAAGCTATTATGGGACCCATAGGGCACCGCAGGGCTATTGGGGGGAGCGACAGAGAACCCCACAACTACTGAGAGGGAACTACAGGGCACCCCATAACGACTGAGAGGGAACTACAAGGCACCCCATAACGACTCAGAGGGGGCTATAGGGCAGCACAGGGCTATGGGAGGAGAGCTATAGGGCACCCCACAACTACTGGGGAGAGATATAGGGCACCCCACAACGATTGAGAGGGAGCTATAGGGCACTGTAGGGCTATGGGGGAGAGCTATAGGGCACCCCATAACGATTGAGAGGGGACTAGAGGCCACAGTAGGGCTATCAGGGAGAGCTTAGGGCACCCCACAACTATTGGGAAGGGCTACAGGGCTATGGGGGGAGAGCTATAGGGCACCCCACAATTACTGGGAGGGGGCTATAGGACAGCACAGGGCAATTGGGGAAGAGCTATAGGGCACCCCACAACTACAGAGGAAAGTTATAGGGCACACCCTAACGATTGAGAGGGGGCTAAAGGGCACTGTAGGGCTATGGGGGAGAGCTATAGGGCACCCCACAACTACTGGGGAGAGATATAGGGCACCCCACAACGATTGAGAGGGAGCTATAGGGCACTGCAGGGCTATGGGGGAGGGCTATAGGGCACCCCATAACGATTGAGAGGGGACTAGAGGCCACTGGAGGGCTATCAGGTAGAGCATAGGGCACCCCACAACTACTGGAGAGAGCTATTGGGCACCCCACAACTATTGGGAGGGGTCTATGGGCAGCACAGGGCTACGGGGAAAGAGCTATAAGGCACCCCACAACTATGGGGAAGAGCTATAGAGCACCACACAACCACGGGGAAGAGCTATAGGACACCCCGTAATGATTGAGAGGGGGCTATAGGGCTATGGGGGGAGAGCTCTAGGGCACCCCACAAGTACAGGGGAGAGCATCCCCAGCCCAGAGGCAGCACCAACCTTTCTGTGCCTCCCGCAGGGAACTGCTGACGATCGTCCACCACTTCTGCGCCTCGCGCTCCTCCTCGAAGCTGAACACCATGGGTTCATCCAGGGAGCCGAGCACCAGCAGCTCGTGGCACGTGGGGCTCCTCACCGTGTACGAAATGTCCTTCAGGTCGTACTCAGCGATGCTCTGCGGGCAGAGGGACGGAGGGGTCATGGCAGGGAAAAAGTCCTTGAAGATCATAAAGACGTAGAACCATGGAATGGTCGGGTTGGAAGGGTCCTTAAAGATCAGAAAACTTTGGGACCACGGAATGGTTGGATTGGTAAGGTTCTTGAAGGTCATAGAGCCTTGGGACCATGGAATGGTTGGGTTGGAAGGGTCCTTGAAGATCATGGAGACATAGAACCATGGAATAGTCAGGTTGGAAGGGTCCTTGAAGGTCACAGAGCCTTGGGACCACAAAACAGTTGGGTTGGAAGGGTCCTTGAAGATCATGGAGACACAGAACCATGGAATAGTCGGGTTGGAAGGGTCCTCGAAGATCAGAGAGACATAGAACCATGGAATGTTTGGGATGGAAGGGTCCTTCAGGATCATAGAGTTATGGAAGGGTTGGGGAGGAAAGGTCCTTAAAAGAATGTTCATAATGGAAGGGTCCTTGAGGATCACAGAGCCATGGAACAGTTGGAAGGGTCCTTAGAGATCACAGAACCATGGAATGGTTGGGTTGGAAAGGTCCTTAAAGATCACAGAGACAAAGAATGGTTGGAATGGGCTGGAAGGGTCCTTCAAGATCACAGAGCCACAGAAGGGTTGGAATGGAGAGGCACTTAAAGCTCCCAGAGTCATGGAAGCTCTGTTAGTTGAAAACAACAACAACCAGAAGGAAAAGCTCGTTGTCCTGCCAGGACCCAGCTCTGCCCACACAGCACCACTTTGCTCACCACAATTCGGCCTTGGCTCCACCGAGGAGGCACAGCTGAGGGGGGGAGGTACAAAAAATCAATGGGAAAACCCCACTGAACCGCTGGGGTGGCTCCGATCCGCCCTGTCCCACTCTTTCCCTTTTTAGCCCTAGGAGCGCTGCCATCCCTGCCCTATTTTTGGAAGGTGAGCCCTCGCTTTGGCAGCAGACCCTGAGCTCTCAGCATTACAATCTGGGCCCCACAGCAGGACAGACAGACGCGAGACACCACCCCTCCTGGTGCACAGCCCACCCCTCGCACCCCAGTTCTCCCATCTCACTGCTTGTGGGGCTTTGGGGGCACCATGGGGCAGGAGGTGCACCCACCACCTGCTCCCCACCTCCAGGGACCCCCAGGCACCACGTGTGTTTTCATAGGGACATAAAGATTGGAGAAGGGATCCAAGATCTCCAACCAGGGACCCCAGTGTCACCAGGAAGAGCGGAGCCAACGGCGTGGGGAAGTGGGGAGCCAAGGCCATGGGGAACTGGGGACCCAAGGATGTGGGGAACTGGGGACCCAAGGATGTGGGGGAATTGGGGACCTGAGGCCATGGGGGAACTGGGGACCCAAGGATGTGGGGGAACTGGGGACCTGAGGCCACGGGGGAACTGGGGACCCAAGGCCACTGGGAAGAACTGGGGACCCAAGGATGTGGGGAATTGGGGACCCAATGCAATTGGTAAGTGGGGACCTGAGGACAAGGGGCACCATGAACCCAAAAATGTGAGAAATTGGGGATACGAGGCTGTGGGGAAACGAGGATCCAAAGCCGTGGGGCCATGGAGAACTGAGGCCATGGAGCACACTGGGTCCGAGGCCACAGGGAACCAGGGATGCGATGCTTTGGGGAACTGGGGATCCAATGCCATGAGGAACTGGGGACCCAATGCCATGGAAAACTGGGGACCCAATGCCACGAGGAACCGGGGACGGGAATCGGGGATCCAAGGATGTGGGGAGCAGGGATCTGAGGCTGTGGGGAACCAGGGACACGATACCATGGGGAAATGGGGACCCAAAGCCATTGGGAACCAGGATTCAGAGGCCATGGGGAAATGGGGATCTGATGCCATAGAGAACAGGGGGGTGATGCCATAAGGAACTGAGGATCCAACACCACAGAGAACTGGTGAGCTGCTGTCATGGGGAACTGAGGACTGATTCTATGGGAAACTGGGGACCTGATGCTATAGGGAACCAGGGACCTGGTGCCATAGGGAACCAGGGAGCCAGTGCCATAGGGAACAGGGGATCCAATGTTAGGGGGAATCAGGGATCCAATGCCAGGGGAAGAGGGGATCCAATGCCACGGGGAAGAGGAGGGTGACACCATGAGGAACTGAGGAACCAATGCCATATGGAACTAGAGATCTGATGTCATGGGAAACGGAGGACTGATTCTATGGGGAACCGGGGACCTGATGCCAGAGGGAACCAGGGATCCAGTGCCATAGGGAACCAAGGATCCGGAGCCATAGAGAGCCAGGGATCTGATGCCATAAAGAATGGGAGATCCAATGCCAAGGGGAAACAGGGGGTGACACCATAAGGAACTGAGGATCCGATGCCATATGGAACTAGAGATCTGATGTAATGGGAAACAGAGGACTGATTCTATGGGGAACCGGGGACCTGATGCCATAGGGAACCAAGGATCCGGTGCCATAGGGAACCAAGGATCCAGTGCCATAGGGAAACGCGGGGTGACACCATAAGTAACTGAGGATCCAATGCCATATGGAACTACAGATCAGATGCCATAGGGAACCAAAGACCTGATGCCAGAGGGAACCAGGGATCTGGTGCTATGGAGAAGTGGGGGCTGACACCATGAGGAACCGAGGATCCGATGCCATATGGAACTAGAGATCTGATGCCATGGGGAAGCGGGGATCTGACATCAGGGGCAATGGGGGATCCAATGCCACAAGCTGTGGGGGGGGGCAACACTGTGGGAAG